TTCAGACCGAAGGCGTAAGTTCGAGCGATATCCAACGCGCCCTGAACCCGCAGCCTCGTCCCTTGTTGTCCGACGACCGTGGCAGCGGTTCTGGCCGCCAAACTTCCCGTCCCCTTTATGTCTGAGACGCCTCTCAGCATACCATACATGATTCCCGAAGCGTAAGCGTCTCCGGCCCCGCAAGTGTCGGTGGGCATGCATGGATAAGGCGGTATGTATATGGCCTCGCCTTTTACCCCGATGTACGACCCTTTATGACTGTCGGTAACCGAAACAAACGGGACAAAGTAACCGAAACAAGTTTTTCCAGCTTAGAACTTTCTTCCTTTGCAATGCTAACTTGACGTTCTGATTCCTCAAGATCTCGTTTTTGTTGTCCAATCGTCATCTCTAATAACTCTACCTTTTCTTTTAGCGTATCGTTTTCAGAATTTGCCTTATGCAGCAACTGATTGTTTTCCTCTAGTTGCTTCATAACAAACTCCATAGATTCTGAAGTAGATCTCTTCAATTTGTTCGATTCTTCAACTTGTTTTTCCAGTTCATCGGCCTTGTTCTTCCACTCTGCTGCTAAGTTATTAGCACAAGATTCAACCATTTTAGCAGCTTCTAGATCAACGTGAAGCTGTTCACTGGTACCTTCTTGTTCCTTCAGAGTTTTCTCAAGGATACCAACTTTTTCAAGCTCCCCCCTCAACATTTCAATTTCAGATTTCAGCTTGGACACCACCTCGTTTCCTTCTATAGCCACTTTTTCTTGCTTTGAACCAAGCAACGCCTTTAGCCGGCTTAACTCAGAAGAGAGAATCTCAACCTTATCTGCCTGAATTTCAGCGATCTTCGTCGCTTCCTCAGCATGGTAGAGTGCCTTGTTCTTCGCATCAGCAGTCATAGTCAATTCTTGTCTTACCATCTGGAGTTCCACTGTGGTAGAGAGGAGAGCCGAGATGTCAACAGTGTGCTGGTTTCTGATAGACTCAACCTCTTTCAGCAAGGCCTCTTTTTTTTTCTGAACAGCCTCGATTCCGGTCTGTTCCAGTTCAATAACTCGGAATTTCTCAATCTCAGAATCCTCCTCAGCTCGTTTTTGAGCTGCCAATGCCTTTTTTATTTTCTCATTGGCTTCTTCTGCCAGTTTCTCAGATTGTTTAAGACCATCAAGTGCCTGAGCTTTCTCTTTCTTGAGAAATTCTATTTGCTCATTGGCTTTCTTTAGATCTTCTTGAACTTGATTCAGTTGAGCCTGCAGGTCAGATAACTTCGCCAAACCCAACCGTGATTGCGCTTTCTGGATTATCACAACAAAACACAGATCATCTTTTTTCATCCAAGAAGAAAAACCCGGAAAATGTTGTAGATGAATTGAAAGCCATAGGCATACAACAATCGGTTTTTTACATCAGGGCATCGACCATATGATCTTGGGAAGTTCCATACATAACTTTTCCCGGTTTAGATTCATTCGTAATTCAAGAACTGCGCTCCCTAAAAGATATAATATCTCAAGGACTACATTTTTATCCCGTCACAGGCAAGCCCAAGATGATGAAAGTCAACTCAGAAACCCAAAACTAACAGCAACCAAATGGATGATTCGGGTTACTTGCCTCAGGTGGAGTAGGGACCCTGGCATTTCGACGATCACTAACAGGCTTCGAGCTAACTGATTGTGGGGATCGATCAAGCGAAAGACGCGAACTTGACACTGGGGACAGAGAATTTCCATCTGATTTAGCAGCCGACAGTTTACTCGCTGGGGGAGTTGGTGGGGAGGGTTTGCTCCGAGGAGTCTCCAACAACCCAGTTCTGTGACATCCTCGTATACATTCACAACAATGTCAGAAATTGATCAAAATGTCCAAATGAACATAAAGAAGATCAACTCCAAAGCTATCAAGCTATGGATCTACATATAACTTACCAAAGGAATAGCAATTATCTTAGGCAGTTACACAAAACAAACAGAAGGCAAAAACGGTAAGACATCACTTGATCTTTCTGCTAGGATCAGACACTGTTCATCTCAAGCTATGGATCTAATTCTCAGAAATGCATATCATGTGCATCCAAATGCATATATGGTGATGTTCAAGTGATCCAATAGGAAATTCTCACACAGTAGAATTGAAGGAAGTGAACGTAAATCTCAAAAAAAATCGAGTAATGACAAAAGCAAGACAATTTCACATTACAAATTCCGAAGGGGACTTTCGAAGAGACCAAAAGAAATGAACTTTCTTTTTCCAAGAGACTCAACCTTCTTCAAGATCCAAGCCCAAAAAGAAAATGGATGAATTACGAAAAAAAGCAACAAAAAAATGGATCATAAGTTATTTCCCGGATAAAAGTTGCAGTCAGTGAATGTGACATTCATCACATTCTGAGGAGGAAATCAGAACACAGAAATCTCATATCCAATTGTCATCGAAATAAAGAGAGATCGTTCCAAGTAAAGAACAAAATACCCCCTTGGTTCTGGATGCCATAGTTGCAGGAGGAGAGCTTCAGGGGAAGAGACGACACCGAATGGAGAAAGAATCAAGATTCAGAATAAAACCAAAAGGCCGAGGAATGAATGTTCGCCGCTAAATTTCCGACATGACCGCCAGACACTAACAAGAACCCAGATTGATTCTGGTCTTCTCTTTTTCTTCCTGGGTTCGAATTGATTGCTACTCCACAGAGTCTTGAGCTTTACCAGCGCCAAATACAAATATTTTTTTATATTCAACAACAACAACAAAAAAACAGGGAAGAGAGAGCACAAATAATTGCCTAATGGGTTACGCTGGGGTTTTTTACTCAAATGACCCAATTGGGTCGCATCTATTTCACGTGTACACCAGAAAAAACATAACACATTAATATTTTTTTAAAAGACGAAATTACCCTTAATGAATATACGATTTTTATCCGTTCGAAAACAACTTCGTTATTACGACTTCGTAATTAATTCTAAAAATGGTGGCAAAAAAGTTACAATTGATTCTAAAAAAGGTTCGCAAAAAATAAAAAGAAAAGGATATTTCAGACTTTTTCAACCGAAAAATGGGTAAAAATTGAAAAAAAAAATTGTTTTTTTTCGGTGGTGTACGCTGAAATAGGTGCGACCCAAGTGGGTCATTTGAGTGATTTTCCCCTTACGCTGTCTTCAGAGTGGTCACCATGTTAGCTTTTCTTTTACTTTCCTTTTCTCTGTTGTGATCTCTTTTCTTTTTTCTGAATTTAATTTACTAATTACATTACATAAATAATTTTTTAAAGACGAGATTAAAAAAAAAAGGGAAGAAGAGGGGGGTTTTAACCCTAATAACCCACTTGGGTCGCAACAATTTCAGGGTACACCACCCAGAAAAAAAAAATTTCAATTTTAACCCACTTTTCGATTGAAAAAGTCCAAAATACCCTTTTCGTTTTATTTTTTGCGACCTTTTTGCGACTAACATATAACTGATATACAACTAAAATAAGACGAATAACTTTTTTTGCCACCTTTTTATAACTATATTTAGAATTAATTACGAAGTCGTAATAACGAAGTTGTTTTCGAACGGATAAATATCGTGATTCATTAAGGGTAATTTCGTCTTTTTACGGAGAAAAAAATGTGTTATGTTTTTGGTGGTGTACAGGTGAAATAGATGCGACCCAAGTGGATCATTTGAGTGATTTTCCCAAGAAGAGGTGGGAGACAGAATGACGAAAATGGCCCTGGGTAAACGATTGATATAATGTTAAACGTACGTGATACCAATATTATCATAATAAATATTCGGGCGACCAAGAAATGTTAATTCCAAATTCGGTGACAACGAGATAGACATTTTCAGATATCACGCGCGATGCGAGTGATCATCAGCGGAGGATTTGAATAAATGGCGCGAGTTACAATCACAAAATAGATTTTTCAATATATTCCGACGATTTTTATATCGCAATTAAGTTATCAATCCGCTATGTTTGAACATGAGAGATTAGAAAAGTGGCACCCCACTACACTCTCTCATCAGAGCTACAACACTCGACCACGACCTCTTAGGGTAGTTTGGTCTGGTTTTGGTGGTTAGATAACGAGGTGTGTAGGATGAGTTCGATAGATGGGTGAAATTATGCTCGGATTGTTTCCACGTTATATATTTTTTAAAAATTATGCTCGGATTGATTCTTATTGTAGAGAGTAAAGTTGATTAAAATTGGTTATAGTTGTATGAAATAATTTCGTCTATGCGATGGAGGTCTGAATCGATCCAATATATATATGTATAAAGTTACTCCTAATTTCATCAATTCTAGCACCGGGAATTTGATAAAGCTCTTGAGAAAGAATCGAATGTAAGGAATACTCAGGAAAAAATAATCGGCCAGCAGTTGTCGGAGAATCCATTGATGGTTTCACAACATTCCTTCTTGACCCTACCGAAGTGGCCGAGGAATATGCCAAGGATGGAGCCGATGCATCCATCAAACGGTCTTGACCGCTTTCTAGCAACATATCCGTCGTCTCAGCACCATCCGGATCGATTCGGAGCAGAAAGTTCGGGTTTTTCCCGGTTTCTTTGGCCTGGAGTTTGATAACTTCACATAGTTATAGTTTCACCAAGTTAAGTTCCAAAAATGTGTGCAACTTTATTCTTCATGAAATCGAATTCTAGATTTCATTCGGCTTCTTCCATTTCGATTCGGTTAGAACACGAAATGACGATTGCTTGAATTTCATATTGTACAGGCATGTCTACGGTCGTACTCCCTAAATGTCTAAATGTCTGCATGTAAAGGACTCCGAAAAAGTTTGAGACGACTTTCTATAGTTCTTAACAAAATCCTTATATATTTTAACATAACACAACATTATATACCATATAAATACATGGATTTATTATCTATTTTCAAATCAATACACTAAATTTAAAATTTTCAATACATATATATAAATTTATATATACATATTTTTTATTTTTATTTGGTATTGTTGGTAATGTTTTTGCATGATCAAACTTGATTTTGAGTGGTACAATGTTAACTTTTGTTTATGAATTTTAGGTTTGGTTTACATTATTCGAAAATCCAAAAATTTGGAGACATCCGATGTTTCGAGTGTTTGATATATGATATACTTGCGTCGACATTTTCTGACCGTTGGAGATACGAATCGATCCCGAGATATATGTAAGTGACGCATACAAGTAGAAGAATAATAATAATAAAGATGAAAAGATAAGATTTTATAACATGTTATTATAAGCACTTGATTTGCTCTACAAAAGCATGCACAAGCTTTTTGCTTGGTTATTCAATATATTATTAAAGGTACGACTAATTTCATCATTTGTAGTGCTCATATGATCGAATCGGACCGGACCACAGAAATTCAGTAACCTCGGGGCGATTCTAGCTGGGGATATTTGAGGAGGCACAAGCCCTTGATGAAGAATCGAATGTAAGGCATGCTCGGAAAAATAATCGGCCAGCAGTTGTCGGCGAATCCGTTGACGGTTTCGCAGCATTCCTTCTTGACATTCCCAAAGTGGCCGCGGAATATGCTAATGATGGACTCGAAGCATCCTTCGACAGTCTTGATGGACTTCCAGCAGGCCGCGGGATCTTGGGGTTGAGCGTTGGAACACGAATAGACCGACGAAAGAACGAGGCCGAGCAAAATCAACATCTTCATCGTCTTTTGCTCCATCGGATTCGAATATCGGAAAGTTTTTTCGATCTATTCGTAGCTTTTTTGGTGTTGGTTTTCTGTTTGAGTATGGATGAAGAACTGAGACATCCTGTTAGGGTTCTTATACTTGGTATGTGGACGCGCTATACATTGTATGTCTCGCTTTTCTTTTCTTTTCTTTTTTTTTTGTTATGCATGAATTTGCCTTTAAAGCATTGTTTCCACAAATATTTTTTTGTCATTTTAGAAATAATATTTTACAAGTTCAATGTTTATTCGTGAAGGGGATCTTGTGTAAAGGGTATTTCGGATATGTTTCCATATTTCTAGCCGACCGTCTTTTATTTTATCTTGCAATAAATTAAAAAGCTAGATTTCATTTCGATTAAATCATTGGAAGTTGAAGTCTCGATTCAATTTATAGTTTTTTAAATGATTAATTAGACTTCAACTTTCCCTTTGGGAAAATAATTTTAAAATTGTCGTCGAATCTTTTTTTCATGGTTAGAATGGTTCGTAAATATATTATATTTTAAAGTTTGTAAATATATTATTTTTTAAAGCTTGTAAATATATTATAGTTTTTTGTTCCAGAGTTGGAGTGTTTCACCGATCCGATATGTTATTCGATCCGTATCCGAATCGAAAATTCGGATATCCGGAGTGCACCGATCGGATACAAATATCTAAAAAAGTCCGGATATACGATCCGTGTCTACCCCTAGTTTCACCAGACTTAGGATCCCTTGAAAAACTTTTTTTTATATATACATAATTTCCATTACCCAAAAAAATCTCACGTTTCTTGGTTAAGCTGTGGGTTTATTCTCCGTGCACAAGTTACTACACATATCTTATATTTCATGCATCGTAAGGTTTAAAGAGACGCTTACAAACTACAATGAGATTCTAAAACATTTATATATATATATTGAATTTTTTTTGGCACATTAACCCTATTATATTTTAGATTAAAAAAACCAGATTTTTTATGGATGTAACTGGTTTTTTAAAATCTAATATTTGTAGTTGGTGTGCAATTGGTGTCATTGAACAGGGTCCTATAAATTTCGGGGCTCTACTTTAAAAAAAATATTATCATTAATTGTAAATTACTAAAACAATAAAATATCTCTTCTAAATTGACATTCGATTTTTTTGAAATCGTTATTTAAATATTTTTTAGGTATAATAAAATTATTATAAAATAAATGAACAAATATATTATAAAAAATAATTAGGTTATAAAATTTATTTTTCTCTGGTTATTTTATTATTGAAAAGATTTAACATTAAATTGAAATTTTAAATTGATTTCACAGTCTTTATATTTCAATAATAAATTAAACATTTTTTTAAATTTTCAATAATAAATTAAACTTTTATATTATTATCATTAAATATATAAAAATGTTACAAAATTTATTTATGATCTCTAAATATTTTTTGTCATAGAAATTAATTTTTTTCAAACTCATTAAATAATTTATTATTAATTTTTCTTATATTAAATTATATTTTTCTTATTAAATAATTTAAATAATATTATTTTATTATATAAATTTATAAGTTTTATTAATTAAGTTTTATAAAATGTAAAAGACCCCGAAAAAGTTTGAGACGACTTTCTATAGTTCTTAACAAAATTCTTATATATTTTAACATAACACAACATTATATACCATATAAATACATGGATTTATTATCTATTTTCAAATCAATATACTAAATTTAAAATTTTCAATACATACATATAAATTTATATATACATATTTTTTATTTTTATTTGGTACCGTTGGTAATGTTTTTGCATGATCAAACTTGATTTTGAGTGGTACAATGTTAACTTTTGTTTATGAATTTTAGGTTTGGTTTACATTATTCGAAAATCCAAAAATTTGGAGACATCCGATGTTTCGAGTGTTTGATATATGATATACTTGCGTTTATGAATTTTAGGTTTGGTTTACATTATTCGAAAATCCAAAAATTTGGAGACATCCGATGTTTCGAGTGTTTGATATATGATATACTTGCGTCGACATTTTCTGACCGTTGGAGATACGAATCGATCCCGAGATATATGTAAGTGACGCATACAAGTAGAAGAATAATAATAATAAAGATGAAAAGATAAGATTTTATAACATGTTATTATAAGCACTTGATTTGCTCTACAAAAGCATGCACAAGCTTTTTGCTTGGTTATTCAATATATTATTAAAGGTACGACTAATTTCATCATTTGTAGTGCTCATATGATCGAATCGGACCGGACCACAGAAATTCAGTAACCTCGGGGCGATTCTAGCTGGGGATATTTGAGGAGGCACAAGCCCTTGATGAAGAATCGAATGTAAGGCATGCTCGGAAAAATAATCGGCCAGCAGTTGTCGGCGAATCCGTTGACGGTTTCGCAGCATTCCTTCTTGACATTCCCAAAGTGGCCGCGGAATATGCTAATGATGGACTCGAAGCATCCTTCGACAGTCTTGATGGATTTCCAGCAGGCCGCGGGTTCTTGAGCGTTGGAACACGAATAGACCGACGAAAGAACGAGGCCGAGCAAAAGCAACATCTTCATCGTCTTTTGTTCCATCGGATTCGAATCGGAAAGTTTTATCGGTCGATTCGTAGTTTTTCTTTTCTGGTTTAATATTTGAGAATGGATGAGGAACTGAGACACCTTGTTAGGGTTTTTATACTTGGTACGTAGTCGCTGTGCATTGTATGTCTCGCATTTTTTTTTTTGTTATGCATGAAGTTTCCTTAAAGCAATGTTTCCACAAATATTTTTTTATCATTTTAGAAATAATATTTTATGTATAAGTTCGATGTTTATTCGTGAAGGGGAAATTTGTATAGAGGGTATCTCCGAACTTGTTTCCATAGTTCTTGTCGACAGTATCTTGTGTTATATTGCAATTAATTAAAAGGCTAGATTTTGCTTTTCGATTAAATCATTACAATTTTCAATCTCGATTCAATTTATAGTCTTCAACGTGACTAATTATAGCCTTATACTTTCCTAATTTGGGAGTGTAATTTTGATAATTGGGAGTGTAATTTTTAAATTATCATCGATTTTAAACTTTACTCGAACTACATGTGTGGACAATGCACTCTTAAACTTTTACAAAAAAAAAAAAAAACAAACGGTGAACGACAAAACGCCGTTAAATCTATAACTTGTGACGTGATCACGTCACTTAATAAAAAATAAAAAATAATTACAAATATATAATAAAAATACTAAAATCAAATTAAAATAAATATTGAATAAAAAAATGACAGTATATATTCATATGCATATCTATATATATATATATATATCACATTTTTTATCTTAATTTTAAAAAAGTACTGAAATGAGACTAGTTTTTTTGTGAAAGAAACGAGACAATATTATATAATGGGAAGGGACTATATATTATACACAAATCGCAATATTCCTAAAGTCTTTTCAACCTTGAACGAGAGAAAAGTATCACGGCAACGTGCGGAGACACCAAAATACGAGAAAGAATGAAGCCAATTCAAGACCTCACAAGCTCGAGATCTGATCAGACCCGACGTCGTTTCGAAAACCCGAGCTGTTCAGACGGAAGGCGTAAGACCGAGCGATATCCACCGCGTCCTGAACCCGCAGCCTCGTCCCTTGTTGTCCGACAACCGTGGCAGCGGTTCTGGCCGCCAAACTTCCCGTCCCCTTTATGTCCGAGACGCCTCTCAGTATACCGTACAGGATTCCCGAAGCGTAAGCGTCTCCGGCCCCGCAAGTGTCGGCGGGCACGCATGGATAAGGCGGTATGTATATGGCCTCGCCTTTTACCCCGATGTACGACCCTTTATGGCCGTCGGTAACCGAAACAAACGGGACAAAGTGGCTTAGGTATCTTGTGGCCGAGACGGGACTTTCCTCGGGGGAGAAATCACAGAAAGCTCTTGCTTCTTCGCTATTTGCAAATACAATATCGGCGTAATTACCCACAATCTCCCTGAACAACGGACGAGACGGAAAACGATCAGACATCTTGTTACGGGTAATAGAGAATCTATTAGAAAGGTTCGAGAAACCGACCAGAAGTCGTCAAAGTGCCTCTCTATGCAAGAGACGTCGGACGCTGTCACGGCGACAAGGGCTCCGCATCTACGAGCTTCTTCGCATGCCTTTGTTATGGTCCGTATCGTATCGGGGAGTTCAAACAGGTAGCCTTCCACAACAAATATGCTCGTCTTGGAGATTAAACTAGCCAGACAGGAATCATAATTTACTGCTGAAGATGTTCCCTGCAAATTATACATGAAAACCACATTGCAACTCTAACTCAGCTTATTTCAGGCAAAACCACCAGACCCTGATGTTTCATAAGATGTTCCAGGATCTAAAACCTCAAGAACAAAAATGTCGGTAACTGCTGACTCGATGGACTAAAAAACGAAAAACGAAAAGATTGCCGAACCCGTCCCTGATTTACTGACATTGGCTAGAATTGGATCACTGAATCCCGATGAAACGCTCAATATATTGCAACAAACTTTCGTTAACTAGGAGTATCTTACCTGATATGCAAGCATAGTACGTTGTGCATCAGGGGTTGTCAGAACTATCACTGTTCCAGTTGTTCCATCCTTGATTGGGGTAGAAAGAAAATTTACATTGGCTCGGCGTAATTTTGTCCTATAAAACATCAGATGGAATGCCTTAAGAGTTAACCAACCCAGAGAAGAAGAAATTGAATCATTAACCAAGATAGAAATTTCTCATAATTCAGAATACCGAACCGGTCAATTTCAGTTTATATTTAGTACAAAAGACATCAAAAGAAAGCATCTATCCAGTTACAAAGTTCATGGAACAAATCAACAGAATTCACCCTGGTCAAGCATTTAATGGACAAAGAAACAATTTTTCCCAGGATAGTTGGCTTATGAGCTATATCATTCATCCACATTAACTCTCAAGTCATGGAATTATCTTCTAATCTAAGACCCGAACAAGTTCATCAAGATTCAAATGAAATTAACTTGCCTGGATGATAAGAATCTATTCTCCACAGGTTATACTGAGCAAGAAGCTCAACCCCTCAAAGGGTATATTTATATAGAGAGAGAGGTAGTTTACAAATGGTGGACACCAAAGGAAGTGAAGATAGAGAAAAGCATAATACTAGAGAGAAAGATTCATACCTGTAAAAGCTACCCAAAGGGTCGCCTCCTATACTTCCCGCCATCGCTACATTTAAAGGCGGGCCACCGATGGATCGACTACCTAATCTAGCCAAAGCCACTAGTGTATTCGATAAAGAGCCTCCGGCTGCCGCCTTATAGCTGCAGCCATCCATTGCTTGCAATACTTTACCCCTCTCCTCGTGATTTATGATTTTCCTTGTCCCCTTCTCTAAACCCAGTTTCGTTAGAAACCCATAGTCCACAACACCGGAAAAATCTACCTACAACATAAGAGCGAAAATGATGTCAGGACAGTGTCCATAAGCATATACATATAAGTACATTGAACACCACAAAGAACTCACATAAAAGATGCAACAACCTAGCATGGCAAATATAAGACAAAAACCAAAATTCAGCATATATATACACCCACACACGCACAAGCAATTTCAGCATCCAGATTCATTTTTCATCACGGCCCTTCATTTTGGCTTGATGGGTCTTTCAGCGATCATTAACTATAGGTAATTACAATCTTATCATTGATACAACTGGAACTGGAACAACATTGATCCTAAACAGAGAAATGTTAGAAGAATTCATTGTATAACCCATTGCTGCTAAAACTAAAACCTAGATTCATCCGCTTCAATTTCAACATGAATCATCAATTCAAGGGTTAACAGTCTACAAATCTTCATCATTCCAGAATTTTCCAAGACAAGGAAACTCACCATGGCTTGTCCGAGGCCCAAAACATCCCATCTCTCTGGTGAAGAAGGGGAAGAAACATCTGAGCTCTGGGTATCTTCCTCATCTTCTTCGCTCTCGTGGCCAGCTTCACCATTCTTCTTCTCCTCTTCACCTTCACCAAATTCTCCTCCGTTACCGTTAATTTTCTTATCGCACCTACAAACAGAAGAAACCAAGAAACGCAATTGCCTCTTTTCGTCCATGGGAATCATTCCCAAGCTCCCCGAGCCTCCGTAACCGCGGGAAACCCACGCTGATGCCGTTCCATAACTGCCCTTGCGGTGATATATACATGAGAGAGGGCAGAGAGAGGAATGAGGAGCGGTAATGGCGGAAACGTGGAAGGAGAGAGAGGTGGAGACTTGCGAGAAGAGCGAGAGAGACATTATTTTGGGGATCAGGGTTTTTTCTCTTTCCTTGGTTCGAAGCTCACGGAGCGCTCATCTCCATCCACAAAGACGGAGAGGAAGATCGAAGGGGGTCGGAAACAGGATAAAATGGCTTCATGACCTAAATAAATTATTATAAATAGTGACGAATGGAAAAACTAAAACATAGCAAAAATAGCTTAAAATATTCAAAATTTGTGACTGACTAAAAGAACATTATGAAACTAAAAAATAGTAATAAGCTATGAAACTAAGGCTAGTAAGTATCTTTAAAAAATTCTCTTTTTTTCTTTTACCAAATAAAGTCTTAATTATTGATAAAATTTGCAAACCATTAACCAAGAAAAACAAAAAAAAAAACTGAAATATAAAAATGAATCACCCACAAAACCCGTCATTTTAATATACAAAAGTAATTTAATACCTAAAGAAAGAATAGTCGACCTATTTTACTTTTGGTCAAAATTGTTACAAAGTCTTTTTTGGTTCCTCCCCGTATATATATATATATATATCCACCACCAACTCCGCACGAGATCGAGCGTGTACGGATTTGAATTGATGAGGCTGTGAATGGATAATTTGTGGTACAAATATATATTTCAAATTGTCAATATTTTATAAAATTATCATAATTTATAAAGTTGCATTGTTATTTTTTTTTGCTATTTCTGTAAACTGCCTCTCTTCACCTCACTATATCATTTAGGGGTGGGCGTTTCGGGAAACGGTTCGGGTTCGGGACGGAATTAATCGGTTCGGTTCTTTCGGTTTTACAAAATTAGGTACCAATTGGATTTTTTATTGTATTCGGTTCGGTTCGGTTTCGGTATCGGTTCGCTTCGGTTCCGGATTTTATTAAAAAAAATGATAGATTTCTTTTAAAAATATTCGGTTTTTCGGGATTTTTAAAGTTCGGTTCGGTTCTGAGAAAATTCGGTTCTCTAAAAATGGTACCGTTCGAAAAATAACAACGATTTCGGATCAGAAAAAATACCGTTTTAACGGTTCGGTTGGTTCGGTTCTTCAGAACCGAAACTAAACGCCCACCCCTAATATCATTGGCGCGTCCTGATGATGCTTTTATGATTTTTTTTTCTTGTTGTTACTATTGGATTTGAAATCTATGGTGATTTCTTTTTTTTTTCAAGATATGCATATTGAAATATTAATCGTTATACTTTTTTTTTTGTATGAAAATTAATCGTTATGCATTGCCCTTTTGGATAGTTTACTCTAATATTTAAATGATTTACGTTACGAACATAACGATTTATTTGTACAGCTCTTTTATTCATAAGATATCACCGTGATCAAATTAATATAATATGCGAATCAAAATATTAGATTTTTCTAAAATACTGATCGGAGTTGGTTCTGTTCTCGGGAGATCTGAGAGATTGGCGATGGCTTACGGACGCGCGATCTTCGACGGCGTGGTGGTGATCGGATCGCTTTGTCTCTTGGGATGGACCGGTCTCTGGTTCCTGAATCGGCGGCTATACAAGGAGTACGAAGAGAAGCGAGCCTTGGTCCAGATCATCTTCAGCATCGTCTTCGCTTTCTCTTGCAATCTCTTGCAGCTCGTCCTGTTCGAAATCATCCCTGTTCTCTCTAAAGAGTAAGCCCTCTGTCGTGAATCTACTACTACTCTCGGTTCCGAAGTTCTATATTGTTGTTTTGCCAAACAAAATCAGAAATGGTAGGGACAATTAGATGGTAGAGAGTTGCTAGTCGCTTTGTTTTCTGGTCTACGAGGTATTTGAACTCGTTTACTTCACTTCCTGCGTTGTAGATTGGTTGATAGCCAAAATGTTGACCGAATTTGGCCGCAACCACTTGGTTCCTGGTAGAAAATGGACGATAATGAAGCAGTGGAGATTTGGTCTCGAGTCATAGAGCATTAGGCATGAATTTTCTTTTTCTTTTTGGTTTTGGGTGCATGTAAACGCCAAGGAAGCTAGTTATCGGTTGGCAATTTGAGTTAGTTTTTAGTTCCAAGTAATTTGGAATGTGATTAACTTCTTGCCATGTGAAGAAAACTGGATTTTGGCGGCACTTGCTTGTCTTATTTAGGTTTTGAAGACTACCTATCCAATTCTATGTGGACCTTCCTTGCTTGCCTTATTAGTTTGGTCTATCCTCCCATATTGCTTGGCAAATGGTTTCACTTAGTTGCTACATGTGTAACATCCTTAAGAAATATTTACCTCCTTCCAGATGGATAAAAGATAGGTAAATTGTTTCTTTCTTCATTTGATGTAGAAACTCGACACCTAGAGGCTAGCGTTAGATATTATTGTGAAACGTATAAACATGAGAATCATGTTGTTGATATATGTAGATCACCTCAATAGTACAAAAAATCCTTCCCTTGTATTTGGAAGCTGGATGTGTCATGAAACTCGTGGCATTAATAAGTAAGGAACAGTTTGACTTGGACTGAATTATTTATATCCATTCGCTTTGCAGGGCCAGGATGGTAAACTGGAAGGTGGACCTGTTTTGTTTGATACTACTTCTGGTTTTCATGTTGCCATATTATCATTGCTATTTGATGCTTCGCAACAGTGGTAAGCCTTGTTCCTTATTTCACTATTGTTTTCTTTATATTTCTGTTGTCTTTTTTATTTCTGAAATCATGCAGATGTTAAGTTTTCTATGATTCCGTGAAAAGTTTATTTGTATGCTAGTGGAGTAGGATCCATGGGCATATGTCGTGATAATCTTTTGCTGCTTCTTATTTAAATTTGTTTGGCTTATTCCATTCTCTTTTGCTCAAGTTTCAATTTGGGTGGTGATTATGAGTATGATCATCATTTATTGTCGTATGGGACTGACACTTTTGCTTTCTTCTTTCTCTTCTTTACTAAACCCAAGAGCACCGTTTTAGCATCATGTGTTACACAGTTTTGTGCCGCCTGTCTGTACTTTTCCAACTTACACCATCATTTCAGGTATAAGGAAGGAGCGCGCTGCTGTTGGGGCCTTGTTATTCTTGACGGCCTTCCTTTATGCTTTCTGGCGCATGGGCATTCATTTTCCCATGCCTTCACCAGACAAAGGTATTCCTCGAGTTTGCTTACTTTTCCCCTCCTTTCATCTCCATATTTGTATGTTTCTACTCATGTGTGGTAACAGCAAAATGCTCAGAATAAATTGTTCTCCTTTCACCATGCATTTCTTGTCTCTTTTTGCTTGGCTCTTGTTTTCAGACCCAAATATGCTTATTTGCTTTTTTCTGGATGCTTAAGATATTGTTACCCCTTATCGGACTTGTTCTCTTAGAAGATCCTTTTGCTTTTTAAGGCTTTTTTACCATGCCTCAGCTGGTCAGCCGAATTGGGGTCATTGGTGTGACCGTCATGGCTGTCTTATCTGGCTTTGGAGCTGTAAATTTACCCTACAGTTATATATCACTCTTCATTAGGTAATTCTATGTTATTATTCAATTATTATTCCACAAGCTGGTCTGTAGTCTGACACTTTTCTAGTTCTATTTTATTCTTATCACTTTTGATGTCTAATCTTATTAGAACCATTGATAGAGTACCTTCCTGCATTGAGTTCCTGCATTGAGGTTTATGGTTTAGGGTTTATACTGTTCACTGGTAAAGTGTGACATGAAGAAAAAAGTAAAAATTATAAACATCAGTCGCACATAAAAGAAATTATGTGCTCTCCCAGGGAAAAAATAATACCTTGGTACAGAGCTAATGTCGACGAATATATGTATCTTAACATCATAGAAACTTAAATTTTATAGGCTAAAACATGGTGCTGAGAATATTCATTTGAGATGGATGGCTATGATAAATTCTAAGGAAGTATTTTCATTATCTATGGATGTAGAATGATGTAAACTGATATGATAGCGGCAACCAGCAGGATTGTATTGATGAAATTGAATTATAACAACTCGTTTTTTTGAAACATACAGGGAGATTGAAGAATCAGAAATAAAATCCTTAGAAAGGCAACTGATGCAATCAATTGAGACTTGCATAGCAAAGAAGAAGAAAATTATCCTCTCTCAAATGGAGATGGAACGGATTCAAGGATCAGCAGAGGTGACTTGTCATATTATAATATTTTTATTTTATGCACTTTTATAATGATCTTGTGTTCGAGTTTTGGTCCTTTCCCCTTCTTTTTAGAGTCGAAGTTCTGATCTAATCTCGTAGACAAACTATGTCACATGCTTCATTGTCAAACTTCTCCTCAGAATTTTGGTGGTAAATGTGTCCTAGCATTTTTTTCTTTGCATCAGTCAGCGGGCAGCCTTACATCCATATCTCCATGATATTTTATATTAAAAAAGATGTGCCATCTGAATTCTCGTTTGTTGGTTTTGTTTGTTTTATCTCAAACTTCTATCTAATAGCTGCATCCTAATTAGTTTGACATGATTCACCCTTGGCTAGTTACCGATATATTTCCCTGGGTAATTAGGCTTTTTTGCTATTTCTGAGATGTGTATAGTACATGTTCTTTAAACTAATTATCTTGTGCTCTCTTCTTCTAGAAAAACAATGGTAGATCTTTCTTCACAAGGATTGTTGGAACTGTTGTGCGATCAGTGCAAGATGATCAAAAGGAGCAAGGTCAGTTTAAGTTTTACTTTTTGGTTTCAATATTCCTTGTTCCTTGGAATGGTTGAACGTGTGCTGTTTCTTTTGGAGCTGAACTTTTCGCATTCTGTTTGGGTTTCAATTTATATCATATGAAGTTGTCTAACAGGAATACTGGGGGTGGTATAATTTAATGATATTATGGTATATAGCTGAGAAAAAAAAAATTGTGTCAGAAAAAAAAAGAAACAAACATTTGCAAAATACTTCATATCATTTTACCTTACAGAGTTTATGATTCTTCTTAACAGTTTCTGAAAGCTAGCAAATTCTAGATGCTTTGATGTGGATAGTGTGGCTTCTCTTTGACCACCTAAATATATATCCTTCTCTGTCATGTTATAAAAACAAGGCACACAGCCAGCAGAAACCAAAAGAAAGCCCATGCCACTATAATTAGCGAAGTTCCAATTTTCTTCTTAGTGTTGCCAAAAGAACGATCCTGACTAGAACCACATTCGAAATTCTGGAAGTGAACAGACAGCTTATTCTCTGGATTCTTTACTTTGAGGTGTCAAAAACAAAGTACAGAAAATGTTTTCTATAAGTGGCTTTGCCAAGAGGAGAGCGAAGACTGTTGAAAAGGATTTTCCTTCTTAAATAACAACTTCTTCTGTGTTCTATTTTTTATGGGAATGTCATCCTCTTTGCTTTGAAGTGAATTATTGTTACTGGTTAAAACAACAGTTCTACCCTTGTTGCCAGCATTGTTTATGTTTAGGCATGGCATCATGCAATTCCTTTAGATTTTTTTGAATGAGCATGAGATGAGACAAAATTTTCTATCATTTAATGTATCTGCTGGTGACATCTCCTCATGTTCATTGATATGTTTTTCTTGGAAAGACATCAAAATAATGGAGGCTGAGGTGGAAGGTCTGGAAGAGCTGTCAAAACAGCTATTCTTGGAAATTTACGAGCTCCGTCAAGCTAAGGTCCACTTCCAGCAATGGACTTGAATTTAATTTTCTAGAAACTCGTTTGTTTCTGTTCTCTGATATGGCAGAAGTATCTTAGTTTTAACAGAAGTTTCTTTTCCCGAGTTAGTTCTTATGATGGTCTTGTTAGGCTGTGGTATTTTGAAGGTATTTATCTGACTTCGCCCCATTTTCAGGAAGCTGCTGCTTATTCTCGAACATGGAGGGGCCATGTGCAGAATTTACTTGGCTATGCATGTTCCATTTATTGTGTGTACAAGATGATTAAGGTAAACTGTCTGTCTTTCTGTCCGGGTAGTGGTGTTTGATGGTTCAGACTCTGCCTCATCCTAGCATCAATTTCAACAGTGTGATAACCTATATCCTTGTGACAACTGGCTTTGCAGTCAAGTTTGATTTTTTTTAAAAAAAGGATTTGATGCAGAGGTCAAATTTTAAGAGTTCCCTACTTCTCTGGAGCTTGCTTTACCCTCTGAAGAAAGGAAATTCTGTACCCATACGAGCACCATATTTTGGGAGATTTTAGTTGATAAACAGCTTTTTAGAAACCTCTTCTCTGGCTTTTCAACTGATTCGCACTTTCTGATTTCTTCAGGCTTGCTAATACGTGTACCAGATGAAATGTTTTCCATTCTCTCATTTCCTGTCTTCTCAGTCTTGTTTTGACTTGGAACAAGAATTAACACCTTTTTTTCTTTCTTTTGTTTTTGCAGTCACTACAAAGCGTTGTTTTCAAGGAGGTACATTCTGGCTCCTACTGTGGTCATGTACTTGTGCTGAATTTATGCACTAAACCATGATTGGATTAATCATTTTGTGTATTTATCTACTACGTGGTGCTGTTAGTAACTAGTTTATTTACAGGCTGTTAAGAAAGATCCTGTGACAATGATGATCAGCATATTCTTGCAGTTCTTTGATATAGGAGTAGATGCTGCATTGCTCTCACAGGTTTGCTTGACTTGCTCACTATGATGAGCGAGTGTTTCTGCTCATGAATCTCAGTCTTACTTATAAAGGTTCTTTCTCCTACGTAAGGTTTTTGGAATTGAAAGCTACAATTACTTACCCTCTCTATTGTATGACAACTCATCTTTCTCTAGGCCTTTGATTGGCTGGAAAATTATGCCCTTAGAAACTTGGAGATTTAACATTAAGCTTGTGTTTATCTTGAATAAGGATTTTTTAGGATTCTGCTGTTTACATCTGTCTGATTCTGTTCCTCTTTTCCCCTGGTTGCAGTACATTTCCCTGTTGTTTATAGGGATGTTGATTGTGATATCTGTGAGAGGATTCTTGACAAATTTGATGAAGGTGAATTCTGATTGTAGTTTCTCAATTTAATTTTCAGTTTTCTGTCTGTAAACTGTCCTCTATGGAAACCAAGCTTCTCTGCCTCAGAAACTTGAGTATTTGTAAATGTTTTTCAAAACCCTCTATGATTCATCACACAGTCTTAAGATGCTGTCTGAATCATGTGTCCCCCTTATTTACATTAATCTATTTCGAAAGATGTATTGGAAAACGTGGTTAAAAGGATTTCATTTCAGTCATATTTGAACGTAACTAACAAGTTTGCATATAAAGAATTTAGTTTTCGTGTGTGCAAAATTTGCTAGGATAGAGTGCTTAAGTAGCTTGTCTGTTGCAGAATTGTTAGTTCTTTTCGTTTCAGTTTTAGTTCTTATGAAAGAGAGCAAATGATTTTGTACAATTTCTTAGTGCCTACTAGACTTGCAATTAGCATTGTTATCTTGGTGGCAATATGACTGACGATATGCTAAAGGCCCCTGTGTTGAATGTTGGTGCAGTTTTTCTTTGCAGTCTCCAGAGTGGGAAGTGGATCTTCGAGCAATGTTGTACTTTTCTTATCTGAAATCATGGGAATGTACTTCTTGTCTTCCATTCTTCTCATACGAAAAAGCTTGAGAAATGAGTACAGGTATGAAACAAATCCAATCTTAAGGAAGATCAGACTAAAGACATAAAGTACTCTTTTAGTGATCGTACTATTTGCTGCCATTATCTGGTTGACTGATTCATGGTTCATCTAATAGTTCCTCCTGGTATATAAGTCTGTTTCCTTGGGAGGAAAGTTCGGATTGGTTCTACGCTAATATTATCATGCTTAAAAGATTGAAACTGGATTACTGAAACTGTTTGTTTGTCATTCCGTGATTGCAATCGCAGAGGGATCATAACAGATGTTTTGGGTGGAGACATTCAGTTCGACTTCTATCATCGGTGGTTTGATGCGATTTTCGTGGCCAGCGCTTTTCTTTCTCTGCTTTTATTGTCTGCACACTATACATCACGTCAATCCGATAAGCACCCTATCGACTAAGCAAATATACGTAAGTGTCCCTAAATGTACTGTTTTACTCCTCAATTTTCACCTGCCTTAACCATCGCTTTCATTTCCTGTGGTTTTGAAAAAGGTAGTTCTCAAGTTTGTTGTTTCCTCACCGTATGATAATCAGATGGTTGTTTTCCGAGAATGAATATTCCTTACGCAGAGGAGCTTACTGACAATCAGAATATTCCTTACGCAGATCGTTCTTCTTTTCTGTATGAAAGCCGTAGAGGTACCAATCTTTTCCATTTTCCACTTTCGATACATATTGTGAAAGCCATCACGTATACATAGATGCATTTTTTGCATATATATTATATATATTATACATATATATGCAGAACCGTGTTCATGGTGTATTGTCAATCTAGCATCTGGGCATAGAGTTTTTCTCGTAGGTGCATCCATTTCTGAGGACGAATACTTGCATTTCACGGTGTTACAATCTTATTCAGTACGTAGAATACAAGTCTCCGGCACGAAACTATATACATAAACCAAAAATTCTACTCAGAAACTTTGTAGGGTGGGAAAAAATTGCAGGCGTCTTGGTGTCTTAATGTTCAAAGTTGGCTCCTTTTTTCAGTGACGGCCATTGCACTGCAAAGGAGAGGTTCAATTCGAGAGAACGAGGGCTTTTTGAAAGGCTAATGGTTGCGATGAATTTGAAGATTGGGGACTTAACCTTTTCATACAAAAAAAAAAGGGTCTCTCTCGATAGTTTAACTACGTTGAACTGAAGAACTCTTCGAGTCTGCAAATAACCAAAGTCCCACTTGGGTTTGCATATCAGGTGGCAATGTATTCTTTTGGCAATACAAAAGTTTGGCTCTTGTAATAGACTCTTCTGTATATGATTGATTAAAACAATAAAATATGGTCGATAAAATGTTTATATGAAAGGGAATTATTTATTTCTAAAAAAACAATATTTCAATTCTTTTAAATAAAAAAAATCTTTTTTAATAAGAAATATGCAACTTCTTTTTTTTTATTGTTTTTATATTTACGATGGAAATGAATAAGAAAATATTAAATTAAATATTAAAAATTGTGGATTTTATTTAAAAGATAAATTAATTATTTTACTATAAATTATTATAAAGTTATTATAGCTTAAATCTTATAATAATTTATAATCTTTTATTATAAATGTACACTATATTTTATGATAAACAAATATAATAATTCAAAAGTGAAAAACCAAAGGCGACAGCTCAGTGAGTGGACGCGCCACATGGAATGGGAGCACGAGGAATACAGAAGACCCACTGTATTGGACTCGCGCCGACCCCGAGTCAGCTCGTTCTCCTGCTCTCTCCTTCAATCTTTGCATATAAACCGTACATTCGTCATTGCTTACACCATTCTCATTTCTGGCTTAGATTCGTTCCTTCAATAGCGTAGCGTCGCGTTTTTTAATCTCCTCAATTTCCCATTCGGGTCCCTAAAAAATCCGAAAACCGGAAATAAGAATTCTGTCGGTGGATTCCTCTCTCTCTCTCTCTCTTTCCCCCTCCTCTCCTAAGTTCTCGAAGATTTTCTCCCAGATCCATAGCTTTTCCGTTTCAAGGTACGCTTTTTCATCTCTGTTTCTTGGAATTCGATGTTGGGTACACCGAGTTCTTTGGATTATCTGTATACGTGTGGGCTTTGTTCGTGTACTCGACGCGTTTCGTGTGCATTTTCTCGCAGACTTGCTTAATTACGTTAGATTGTGCGTCTAGGTTTTCTATTTCACTTGATTTGTGCTATACCCATTTGATGCCTTTGCATATTTCTCCGTGATCTGATTCTCCTCTTGATCTTGGTTGCGAAACGTTGAGTTCGCTCGTACATGGCGCGCGAATTTGAAGTTGGGTTGTGGATTTCTCTTGATTTATGTTCTGCCCATTTGAGTAATGCCAGTTTGATCGTTTCATTGTGAGATAAATCTTGTCTTGATCTTGGTTCTGTAATGCCGATGCTTTTTCTCTGTCTTTTTTTAATTAGATAATGTCGAGATCTAACGAATAAACTCCCACGTAGATCCAATTTGCTGAATCTCCTTCCGCAACCATGACTTTGAGCAATGGCGACGCTAAATCAGCAGCGACCTGCAACGGCAATGCCGAGAAGCCCTTCAGGATCTTCGTAGGTTACGATCCACGGGAAGATCTCGCTTACGAGGTGTGTCGTCACTCCATTACGAAGAGATCTTCAATCCCCGTCGAGATCACACCCATTGTTCAATCCGATCTCCGCAAGAAAGGGCTGTATTGGAGGGAAAG